TTTAGTTGCTAAAAAGTTACTTTTCAAAGCAAATCATTAATTTTAACCACACATTTCGAAGGACCCACAACTATTATCCACCACTCATTTCTACCAACTTATAATTTTAGCAACTAAAAAGGAAACCCAAACAAGTGCTTATTTTGCCAAACATGATACAGCATGTTTGGGTAGTGTCAAAACTTACTTTTCCAGAAACTAAGTTGACATTTATGCACATCCAAACATTTTATTAATCTATGCCTGGAGGATATTGATTGTTGTCGAAAAAGCTGGGTCAAACTATGAACCATCCTGTTAATATTATACCAGTAAGCCTCCATCACCTTTAGGAGTAAACTACTTCCTACTTTTCACAGTATAGTCTATTGAATTACAGTAGTCCTGTATAAATTTTATATAAAAATGTAATTTAAAAAGAAATGCTCCTGGACTTCTTGGATTTTTTTATTATTATTATTTTTTTTTTGCAGGTACGAGTACAGATGGGCAGACGGTGTACAAATCAAGAAACCCATTGAGGTTTCAGCTCCTAAATATGTTGAGTACTTGATGGACTGGATCGAAACCCAGTTGGATGATGAGTCCATATTTCCTCAAAAGCTTGGTAATAGCCGAAATACTTCCTAATGTGTTCCATTCTATGATGCTCGGCATCTTCGAAATAGTTGGAGTACCCGTGTCGGACACGACATGGGTAACCCATACTCTATACACAGCCTTCCTCCAAGTTTCAACCGGACACTTCGTAGTTTTTGCTTTTTCTTTTCTTTTTCTTCTTTCTTCTTTTTTTTTTCTTTTCCTTTTCTTTCCATTTTCTTATTTCCCACTTTTGTTCTCTATAAACCTAGCGCCATCGCCGAGAGGATGGAGAAAGACGGCGACGCTAGATTTTCCCTTCTTTTTCTTTTTCTTTTTCTTTTTCTTTTTCTTTTCTTCTTTCTTTTTTCTTTCCATTTTCTTCTCTTTTTTTCCTTCTCTCTCTCTCTATATCGGTGGTTTAGGGTTTTGTTTGTATAAAATGAAAACGGGTTCTAACCCTGAGGGGTGGCTCAATTGGTCAGGCCTTGGGTTTACTCCCCAATGGTCACCAGTTCGAGTCTTCTCAGGGCCACTGAGGTGAGTATCCGGCCGTAAACTTCAGGGCTCTATGGAATTAGTCGAGGTGTGCGCAAGCTGGCCCGAACATCAACGGTTATAAAAAAAAAAAAAAAACGGGTTCCATATAATGCTACTTAGTGCTCCATTAAATCCAAATTACAATCAAATTCCTTATTTTCTATTTTATATAACATTTATTAATTCTCATTATTATTAACTAAATCCCAAAATTATATTTTATTCGTCTTAACCTCTTATTAAGTACTCATTTCCTTCATTGTGAATAATTAATTTTGGTTTATTCAAAATGATATTCTGAATTAGTAAAAAAAATTGAAGTTTGAAAGACGTACCCACTACCCATGTCTGAAATTTGAACTCTTTTTAGCCATGTCCCCGTATCCCATATTTTAGAAAATAAAAGATCCGACACTTAGATACATACCCGTGCCCGATACTCGTATTCGAGTCCAAGCATCATAGATTCCATTGCGTGTTTTTTGGCGTTGAGGATAGTTGTCGGATTTCTATTTTAGTTCATCATATTAACGAATTAATATTTGTAGGCACACCATTTCCTTCCAACTTCAGGGATGTTGTGAAGACCATATTCAAACGCCTGTTCCGTGTTTATGCACACATATACCATTCTCATTTTCAGAAGATCGTGAGTCTTAAAGAGGAGGCTCATCTAAATACCTGCTTCAAGCATTTTATACTGTTTACCTGTGTAAGTTCTTCGATTCTTGGGAGCTAAATTGTTTTATGTAGTCTTTTCACTCTGCTCCTTTCTCAGACTTTGAATATTGTTAAAAGTTACAATGCCCACTTTTAGGTTTATCGTAGTCCATATTCTGTTATTTTATCTTGGTTTTGTTCGGTGATATTATTGTCTTTTTTACGTTCTTTTTGCTTAACATAAAAGGAGGGTAAATGACATAATAAGCTAAAAAAGAGTATTTGTATAACTGTAACTTACTATAGACTGGTCATACCATTTCAGTCCCACGGCAAGGAAGTCGGTCGAACCCTCATTCATTTACTATTGTTACGAACTTCAAATATTATTCGAATGTTTTGATTCTAAACTAGATTCCAATTTGTATAAATATATGTTTTTCGATGCAGGAGTTCGTGCTGATTGACAAGAAGGAGCTGGCTCCACTTCAAGAGCTCATAGAATCCATTATTCCTTATTGAAAGTGCCTTGTATTTGCCTGTTTGAACTGACATTATGTAGGGACAAAATGAGATGATGTAATCCTATGATTGTGTGCATACAGTTCCTGGGATCGTCTTATGTTTTGCATATACTTTCAAGTAATGTATTTTAGCAGTTTGCTAAGGTAAGACCTCAACAGTAGAAGTTTTGTTGGAACTCAGCTAGTTAGTGTTCTTACGGATGCCCATATTGTTCATACTTGAAATAGTTCTAAGGGAAGTCGTTATCTATAACTTTAGTTGAAGGATCAAATGATGAGGAAGAGGGGGAATCGAGTCGCAAAATGCTATCCGCCATCTCCATGTGGTATGCCTTGTGTAGGGAAAATTTGTTGGAAAATTTGTTGTATATGGGCTATCTTGGCATAATTTAGTGGGATCTGTTTCTTTGTTTTGGAATGTCAAATTAGATTCGTGCTCTTCTTCGTGAGAACATCAAAATTATATATTTACTTGTGAAAAATGATATTTTGGCGAATGAGAAATGGGAATTCAAAAAATACCAATTTGAAGAAATTTATGTGTTGGAGGGAAGACAATTAAAGTTTGTTCCACATAGAAAAATGGACAAGGCAATGATTAGTTTATATATGATCACGCTTTTAAATGGTGTAATTATATGTAGTACAAGCGACCTGTTTACTTGAGGGCTTGGGGGTTATGCAAATCTAACTGGATTAGCACCTCGAGCTTGTACATGTGGCCTCTTTACGTGCGGGCATAGGGGATATACAAATCAAACTGGATTAGCACCTTGTGCTATTTAATTTGTGTATGAGTGCGATCTGCATATACGAGTGTTGACCGAAATTGGTTTTCTAATAAGGTCTAAGTTTTGCCTTATTTTTCATTTTCCCGAACACGAATTTTCTTCTCTTCATGCATATACATTTTACAGTCTTCTACCTGCCAATATTTTTCAGTTTTTGTCCAAAGTCTTGATGACCTTGTTCAGATACATATTTAGTTCGTCAATGTAGAAATGTAGTGCTCAATTTTTACTATTTTTTTCCTTTTTGCATAAGCATTTTTTCCTATCTGCTAGAATTCTTCAGTTTCTCTCCACAGTCTTGATACAGATGTAGTTCGTCGGTGCAAAAACGTAGTGCACAATTTCTATTTATTTTTCCTTTGTATGCTAAGAGACTGCGCTCAACGAAACCTCAAGCATTGATGATGAGATGACGAATCTGTTTAAGGGCATAATGTTTTTATTGGTCTTGGTTGCTATTCATTTATCAGACTTACTCCTCATTTTTTTCTTTGCATATATTATTTCAGTTTGTTCTTAAATATATGTTATATTCTGCAAAATCTCAATAACAAAATTTTGACAAAATGATAAAAGGGGTAAAAAATTCTCAATGGTCACTATACGAATATATTTGAATCTTGATCCGTCATTCTTTTACATTATCTTTTTAGCGAATATCTGGATGTTGACACGTCCTTTGTATATGCAGAAGCACCCTTTAGCTTTCTAGAAGGTTGAAGTTTTGTTCATCAAGGGTTGTAGGGGGAGTAAGCACGTTCTCAAGACAATTGCTTCCGCAACTGCATAAAACTTTATTAATAAGAAATCAATCCGTTTGTAGCATTGTGCAGCCATTGGGAGGGAGAAGGGGTGCTCTGATTAGAAGATGGGCACATTGGGGAGGGGGGGCGGGGTTCAATTGGGCTAGATAATGACTCGATAAAAATTTCACAAACTAACATAGAGGTTTGCATGGTTAGTTCGATGTAAATGAAAATTTTTAGTACAGTAGTAGAATCGAAGTACTTGATACGAAGATGGGCACATGGGGGGTGGGGGGGGGGAGGTGGGGTTGATCAATGTTAACTTGGAGCCTCCATTTATGACTTGTGCATTAAAAAGAGACAATGATTGAATTTTGAAGTTTCTAGAAAAGTCGACAGAAAGTCTTATCATATGATAAAATAAAGTATCTGAGTTTTGAATGCATTATTTACGATGTTATCTCAAATAATGTTAAGGTATGAAAACTTGGATCTCGAATAATGTCATGTCAAATAATGTTAAGTTTCTAGAATTAATTTATATTTATTCATAATAAAAAATGTCTATATTTTCAATAAGGAAAGTGACCTATAATTTGGGATAGAAGACAAAGAAACAAGGATTATTTTTTTGGGACGGATGAAGTAAGATTATTTATATATTTAGACAACATGATGCTTTTATTTTCATGTTATCAAACGAGCTATCACGTTATCCCGATCTATATTGAGTCGATCTCCTTTTTAACTATAGAAATAATAGACACTGAGATTGCCTTTTCAAAACCCAAAGCACAATTCATATTAACATTACATCCATCAATGATCCCTACTGCTCCAATACTCTGATAAAACTATTTATTTGAGTTTACAATATATTGAATTTATTAAGTTGATTTGACCATGCGCTTCTTTGTAGAAATTTTTCAAAAGCACCATTCATATCAAGATTACATCTATAAATAGTCCACATACAGATACACAGAGAGAAAGAAAGAGAGAGATGGAAAAAAGCAAAGTTTTGATCATTGGTGGTACAGGGTACTTGGGGAGGAAATTGGTTTAAGGCAAGTTTAGCTCAAGGTCATGAAACATATATTTTGCAGAGGCCTGAAATTAATGGTGATGTTGATAAAGTTGAAAAATTAATATCATTCAAAATGCAAGGGGCTCATCGTGTCCATGGTTCTTTCGAAGATTACAACGGTCTGGTGGAAGCTGTGAAGCTGGTCGACATAGTAATCTCCGCGATTTCTGGCGTGCACACTTGGACTCATCAAATTCTGCTTCAACTCAAGCTTGTTGAAGCTATGAGAGGCTGGAAATATCAAGGTTAGAACATTAGTTAGTATGCATGTTTGTTATACAGTATTATCGAGTTTAGACAATAGAAACATTTGTAGTGCTTTACATATATGGTAATTACCTTAAGCAATAGAGCCAGGCAAGTCATATATTGAGATTGTTAATTGAGTAATGCTATTCATCCCCACTGGGGTTACAAACACAGTTTAGGTGGCGTTAATGTGACATTAAATGATAGGTGAAATTTAACAAGTCATTTAATTTCACTTTTCATTTAACCTATCATTTAGAGCCACCTAAACTGTGTTTGTAACCAGTGTTCTAAAAGGTGCGCTCAGGCGTGAGGCGAGGTCAAAACGCCAAGCCTAATGGGTTAGCGCCTTATTTGGCGGTCAACGACAGTTGTTGACCGCTAATGCCCGCGTGTGCGTGCTTTTTTTTTTTTTTTCATTTTACAAAAAGGTGCGTTTAGAAAGTACAATTGCCCAACAATTAATGCACATTTTTTTTTAGTTGGATGATAAAAATGATGCACCAATGAATTTTTCTTGCCAAATTTTATCATAAATTTGAAACTTATATTTTTGTTGGAAACTTTGAAAAAATGTATAAAGTTCCTATAAATCTGTTTTAAATGTTTAGTAAGTATTATTTTTAATTGATTAAAAATTAAAATAATATTAAAATAAGAAAACGCATTTTTACGCATATGCCTCGCCTAAGCTCGCCTAGTCCTGAGCTTGACTTTCACGCATCGCCACGCATTACACCTTTTGAAACACTATTTGTAACCCCACTGGAAATGAATAACACGACTCTTGTTAATTAGTTCTTGTTTTATAAAGTTTTGACCTTTCCAAGTCCATAATAATAATAATAATAATCAAAACTATCAAAATTTCAACGTTTACACTTTTAAACACTTTTTCATATGGGAAAAATTTGAAACTAAGAGTTTAACTATAGCTCATTTCAAAACTAAGACAAAATGTTTAAAATTTCAAAAATAAGATATTTTTTAAAAATTATTTCTGAAATAATTAATTAAAAGTATATTGTATACATTAAATATAAGGTCACAATTCTATACAATTTGATCACAAATTATCGAATTAATTGGTTACAAATAATTTTTCGATCACAATCAAAAATTTTATGGATTACAAATTATTTCATGGTCACAATTTTATCAAATTAATAGGTTTCTTATTATTCCTTGGTCACAAATGATAACTTATTTCATTGTCACAAAATATCAAATTAATTTACCACAAATTCTGTTTAGATCACAAATTAACAAATTTTTAGGTCACACATCATTTATTGGTCACACACCGTTTATTGGTAACACATTAATCAATTTATTGGTTACAATCAACCAAATCATATGCGACCACCACCTCACCATTGTTGAAACCACTGCCGTTGAAACCACCACCACCGTCGAAACCATCACCACGACCTCCCAATAACAAAATCATCATCTCAAACACCACAACCAACGTCACCACTACCACCACCACCAAGATGCCAAACAGTCACCACCACCAAACCACAAAAACATGGAAACCACCAACACCAACCCAACAACCAAAAAAATCATCACCATCACCGCGATCTGCGTTGCTATAGCAACTAAAGGCGCGATTTACAGCGCAACCTTTCTGTGCAGCGATATCACAGCTGCAGATCACCACTGCACAACACCGTATGCACAGATCACCACTGTACCACCATAGATTTCATCCTTTTTCTATCACACACATAGAGATCACCATTGTGCAATGATGCAGCACAGATGAGCTCTCTGAGAAAGTTATAATAAGTCATATTCATTTAAAAACTCTTCAAATCTGATGATATACTTAAAAAATTATCCAAACATGTTTAAAAATAACTTATTAATCTTAAAAATAAATTTTACTTTTCAACCAAACTGGCTCTAATTTCAACTAAAATATTAAAAGAAAAAATAAGATTATCTCCAATAATGGTGTAAATTGGTATCTTCAAAATCATATTTGCATCGCTATTTACATCCTAATGTACCTAAATTCAAATTTTGCTCCAATGAGAAGATTTACATTTTTTTTTTTGCTCTAATGGAAAGATGAAAAAAAAATTGGGTGCAAGTGAATTATTTTTTTTTTTTTTGCCTCTTGTGGGTCCACAAGTAAATCTAAAAAATATAAATTTACATCTTTTTTACATTTTCTTTCTAAAAATGCACTTTGCATCTCTCAGTTGGAGATGTTTTCAATCACTTTGAACATTTGAAGATCTAAATCACAATTTAGATTTAATGTAGTGAGTCATTGGAGAAGCACTCCCACCGTCTCACAATAATAGGATTATTTTCATTTTCATACAGATTATGATAATATACTATTGTTGGAAACACAATTATTTTTTAATACACCACTATGTTAAATAATAATTTAAATAGAAGTAGATCATATTTGTTTATTTAAATTAGGGTGTATTAGAAAACTAAAAAAAATCAACTATACTCTCAATAAGAAAAATGACATAATTTGGGACAAATGAAAAAAAAAAGTAAATTTATTTTTGTGGGACGTAGGGAGTAAAATTTAGAGTAATGATATTTATAATGGATTATACACATAACTTACAAATTTATTTACCAATAGATAATGTGACAACATTTAATCAGTTAAAATCTCATCAATCAAATAAAAAAATCATCCAATTTCTTTTGACACATCATCAATATGTAAAAGATTATATAAATAATGATACGTAACAAGAATTTTTTTAGAGTAATGTTATTTAGCTCCATTATGATTATAATTTTAGTCCATGTGACGCTAAAGTGACATGAAATGATAAGCACAATTAATTGAGTTATTTAATTTCACATTTCATTTTGTTTATTATCTAACACTACATAAATTAGGATTATATTATCTTCCTCTCTTTTTCATGTTATCTATCGTACATTATTATGTATGCAGTGATGTATAAATAATATTTTTTATTACTATAATATTTTTATATAATGATTTACAAATAACTTTACTATAAAATTTTACATAGGATATATGTGCTACTCCTTGAAACAAGTTCTATTGGCATTTTGTTGTGTATTGGAATTCTCAAACTTAAGAACAAAAGGTTGCTCACTTGATCATCATACAATCACATGACCTGTTACATCATTGGACAACTGTATATGCACACAGCCATAATATCAGCCCCCCTACACCCCCACAACCTCCAACCCCACCCAATCCAGTGTTGTCTCCCACTGCCTTCGAATGCGCCCTATAATCTCAACAATCCCACGAAGCCAAAACCCTGCTTAAACTCGATAAATTTCCCCAAACCCAAAAGTTTCTTGCCCCCGATTTCCATTAAAAACAAAATCAAGAAAATGTCCACAAAATAATGGTTCTGAATTCTCTGAATCTTGGGTTCTTGCAGTGTTTGTGTACTTAAAATTCCTCAGAAACTCTCTTACTTTTCAGCCCCGGCTTTTCCTGAACTCTACCTTCCATGTTTGGGCAAACCCTAGATCTGTCCCCCTCTTAGGTAACAAACACACGCACTGTCTTTGCCTTAATCTATGGCAGTGCAAGTGTGCGTGTAGATTCTGTTTTTACGTTCTTAAATTTTTTGAACTGCAGCTTTTTAATAGATACTTTGCAAAGCTTGTATTCAGTTTATTGTTCTTAATTTTTTCTCCTGGCACAAACACACAAATACACACTCTCTATATGCATATGTTGGTTGTGTGTTTGCTGACTGCTGTTTTGTTATTTCTGGGAACAGATTCTGAAAGGAGATATATTGATTGAAGAGTTTTCACTGCTGGTTGAAATAGGGGGAATTAATTAGAGGGAAAGATGAGTGGGACTGGATCGATGTCAGTAGCGGTGGGGATGGGGGGAGCAGGAGGGGAACTGGGGTATGTGAGGTGCAGACCACCATTTACAGCAGTACAGTGGCAGGAACTGGAGCATCAAGCCATGATATATAAGTACCTTGTGGCTGGCTTGCCAGTCCCACCTGATCTTGTCATCCCCATTCGCCACAGCTTCGAGGCATTATCTGCCCGGTTCTTCCACCACCCAGCTTGTAATTCTTTCTGTTTATCTATTTAACTAGGTTTGCACACACACACATACATATTATATACATGTAGAACACAAAAGGCAACTGAGTACTTATGTCAATAGAATGTTCTTGTTATAGACAAGCGGAAAGGCTGGATGAGTGTCGAATCCCAAGAATGGTCCTCTTATGTTAATTCATCAAATTTGCTTAGTTGAGCTAATAGAAGCTTGCTATCTTTCAGTAGCAAGTTTCTCACACACACTTGTTATCGTTTTATGTAGGTGAATGAAATTAGCTCCTGTCTTTATTTCTACTCGTAACTTAGGTCTAGAATAAAAAAAGAAAGAAGTGGTGGACCTGCAGTTAGATCACAATCCGAAGCTAGATAAAGAAAAAAAAGTGATTGTTGAAGTTTCTTCATCAATGTTTATAAATTTCAAGTAGAGTGAATGACTTAAATGATGTTTTCCTTTCCTATTTAACTCTTGGGACTTGATTTTGGATTTTTTACACGCAGTGGGATATTGTTCCTATTTTGGGAAGAAATTTGACCCTGAGCCTGGGAGATGCCGGAGGACGGATGGGAAGAAATGGAGGTGCTCCAAAGATGCGCATCCAGACTCCAAATATTGTGAGCGGCACATGCACCGAGGCCGCAACCGTTCAAGAAAGCCTGTGGAAACTCAATCTACTTCACAATCCTTATCAACAGCAATGACGAACATCACTAGTGGGAGCAGTGGTAACAGTGGAAGCTACCAAACTGGTGGCAATGTAAGCTTCCGAAACATGCCCTTGTATTCTGCTAGTTCAGAAGGTTTGTCTTTTGGGAGTAATGTGGCAAAGCTGCAGATGGACCCTGGGTCCTATGGGATCAATAACAAAGAGTACAGGTAACTCAGTTAAGCTTAGTTTTTTATTTTATGCTGGAAACTATATAATGAAATAAGAACTTCGCGACATTTCTCTGGTCCATCTGTTTTTGCCTAGCATCAAGTACACATTTGTGATTAAATCTGGATATTTGTGCTGCAACTATGACTCTTAGCTATCGAATTAGACCTGGGCCTTTTTACATGAGTTATTCATATGCCATGCAAGAGGCATACCTTTTTGTTAGAAGAGTAAAAACAATATTGCCTTCTGTGTATTACCTATCAAAAAAATATTGCCTTCTGTGTATGATAGTCCCGCAAAAGAACTAGGTTGATAACAGGAATATATTGTATCATTTGTTTGAGTTATGGAAGTGTAGAACTAGAATGACAAGAAATGTAAGGATTCTCCTTGCGGAACCTTTTTAAAGGTGAGTAAATTTGAATATAAAAGAAACCAGGTCCTTTATCATTCAATTTATTTCCAAATGTATGTTTTACAGAAACAAATGAATACCGACTTGCATTATCATTTTTTACCCGTCTTCCAGCCAAGTGGGGTGATTAAAGTTTGTGTTCTTACCTTGTTCTGCTTCAAAAAATTTCACTTAGGAACTCTTTTTTAATAAGATGAAAGATAAAACAAAAAGGAGCACAGAGGAAAGGACCTTTATTCTTTTCGTTTGGCAATCTGTGGGTGGAACAGTTAGGTATTAGTTTCTAACCTCTGTGAGTTCTCTGAAATAAAGAGTGACTTTTTTGGTTTGTAAAAGGTATGCCGGCTCCTTGACTCTTTTGGTGAATAATAGAATGTTCTGATGTGTTATGATTATTACTTGATTCATTTGATCATTGAATCTTAGATTAGTGTATTCAATAATTGATTCACGATGACCTTACCTCAATTTTAGATGAAGCAGGGGTACTTGTCCTGCATCATTTGTGTCTTAAGGATAATTTTAGATGAAGCAGGGGTACTTGTCCTGCATCATTTTTGTCTTAAGGATTCTTTTTGCATCCTGCAGTTAAACTTGACTCTTTTGTCATTATAGTAAGATGTTCTAAGGTCCAGCACTGCTTGTTGCTCACAGAACATAGAATTCTTGACAGAAGGACCTTTTCTAGATAAGATTTTATTAAGCATGGCATCATAAGGGGGGTACAAGTCAGCTTACGTAGAATCAGCATATGGAACAATGCAGCAGATTTGACCAAATGAAGACATGTTGGGTCATGGGAATCAAATTAAAACAAATTTCCGTTGCATTTATCTACACAAAACAAAGAATGTAGAGTACTACCGTGTCTTGCTAAGATCCTTTATTCGACTTTTCTTACACGTGTTAATAGAACTTTCCGATAGTTTGCCCTTGTGCTTCTGAACTAACATCTGTATTTTTTCTCTTTTCACTTAGTCCATAATTCTTCTCTCAGCCTTCCTCATCCAACCATAATATAACCCCAGTGAATTCCCCAAAATGATTGGTCTCTTTCCCAGTTCACCTTAAGAAAATGCCGATATAACTTTACTAATGATATAAGTTGTTTGTGGAAGCTATCTAAAGACTAATGGTATGTTTGGTATAGATTTTTGTAAAGTTGGCTTCAACTTTATATCTGTGCTTCTAAAGGAGTATCTTTAGATTGATTACAAACCAGATCGGCATGTTGTTCCTGACTGCTAGTTTGCTTATCCGGCATTACCTGTTTCTCACAAGGTCACTCTTATTGACACAAGTACATTTTGTCCAGCACAATATCTGTATACTTCTCAATCTGGTGTGTTGATTTGTGCATAATTCTGCTGGTTATGTCAGATCCCATGTTTCTATCATTTGAATTAATCGCTTCCGGTCCTTTTCTGGTACATTTCTTTCAGTTGTGTAACAGTTAGGATAGCTCATCCAACACATTTTTTTTCACCCAGAGGAGCAATATTTTTGGCAGATCTATGAAATGATTGCCTAGAGTTATCATTTACGCTGTACAATAGTTGTTTTATTTTCATTCTGTGTTTTAATCTGCCATAATGTTTTTATTCTTGGTGATATTGTTGAGAGATCCCCTCATTTTGTAGTTTTAAATTCAGGTTCAGAACCAGGAAGATCTTTCTATTAGGAAATAGTGGTTGTACATCGAGTAGAGGCACTTATTCTGCATCAATACTATCAGGCATGTTCTGTTTACAAATATGAGCTGTCATATTGAGATCTGATGGCCTGTACTGAAGCCTAAGGCTTTTCGGTAATCATTAAATGATATAAAATCAAGAAAAAGTAAATAGGGAAACAGATTAAGAAATGCAGTATTTGCTGAAATTGAGTGGGTTAGGTTCTCTGTCTTCACTAAGGTTCTGTTTCTGTGGATTGAACTACAATAAATTCACTCACAAGCAGCTATGTTTTCAAATATTTGACTAAATATGTGGAAGTTCTGAAACCCCTGGTCCCTAAGCCTGTAGTGGAAGAATGCACCAGTCCGTAGTTGATTTCCTTCTGCTGCAGGACACATTGCCATGATTTCAGTGGTTTTTTACTGGTAAAATATGAGCTGTGTTATTCTACCATAACCTTATGGTTATTGGATAATTCTTTGTAGCAAACTATACATTTTTTTATATCAATCTTTTGTGGAACATTAATGCTAACGTGATGAAGAATGTGAGCAAGTCTCCCTCGAGCTAATATATGATATGGTACATCATTTTGGTCGAAAGTAAGTGGAAGTTGTAAAGGTTTGTTCATTGTCTATAATTCCTGCCAGTGGATGGAGATATTGATGGTTTCCTTTTGTAGCTGGGAATTGAGCTAATGGTTAACCTAATACTTTTGAGCACAAGAACTGAAATTACTAAGGATGTTGATGTGTAAGTATGCGATTGAAAAATGAGTTGGTAATATATGTTGGCCTTGACTTAGGGGATTCAATAATGAGGATTGATTTTAGTCAGCGCAATTCTTGCACGGAGTCACGTTCACTGGTCTTTGGAAAGATTTGCTGGTCATATGGCCTAGTTGAAAATAAACGGTATGTACGTGCATAGTCCTAAAGTGCCATGACTACCACATAACAAGTTGAGCTGTAGGAAGTTATTGGTGTGGATTATGACAAAGATTCAAAAGGACTTTATTTAAGCTAGTATGCCACGTTCTTAATTTCTAGTTCACGTGCCTGATAACATCAAATTATAGGAAGTCTGTAATTAATGTCCCTGGCACTTTGGTACCTGTTACTGAATGTTGCTTAATTTGTCTATCTTGTTGGACTGTTAGCAATATTGACAGAATCAGCGCTGATCATTATTCTAATACATAGGTCATACAAACGATGGAAGGAGTGGATCAAGTGGTAAATGATGATTTTTATGATTTACAAGCTACTGTGTGTTTTTATGCATGGAAGGAAAAAGTCAATATATCTTCATTTTTTTCCTTTTGACAAATCAATCGAAGCAAATTGAATGAATTGACTAAAGAAAAACTGTTTGAGCTCTGCTAAGGATTTAGTGTCTTCTCGATATATATGGTGCTCGAGGGCAATTTCAGTTTAGTTCTTTAGCTACATTATTTACATGTATTTGCGCCTCATGCCAATAAAATGTATGATTTCTTGATCTTGTGGAATGAGAAACACAGATTTTATCTTTAATTCCTCTGTCTCCTTGGCCCTTTCGACTTCTATCAGCTTATAACATAAGTTAATCACAGGTACATTCATGGACTCGCTCCTGATGCTGATCAGAACATTTTGTCCCCAGAAGCTTCTGGAAGCATGGGAAGCCTCAAATTGGGCTCTAGTGTTGGCAGCAGCGCATGGTATCTAACAACACCTTCTCAACTTCCTTCAAGCCATTCTCTTAAACAGAA